ACAAATGCACAGATATGGTGATGCAGTCCACTATTCTGTTTTAGTTGTAATACTTTCATATGCCTGTACACTCGATCCATTATACATGTCTATGCGAATGGTTTCACAAAATCATGTTTGTTGTGGATGCTTTGATTTCACAAACATGTTTTCCAGTCCCCAAAATGCTTTTGTTGTGTTTTATATTGATTATTGAGCTTTGAATGTCAAGGTCTGTATTTAAGCCCTGTCGAAAAGTGAAATCTGCTCTATTTGTAGATAAGATAGTATCCTCATTCAGAACTTCATCATCTAAAGACAGCCGCTTCTGCTACTCATAGAGTTCATCGCATGTCTTGAAAAAGAGGCGAAGACAGAGCGAGAAAAATGTGACGGATTGAAACAGAGGACATTTCCTCTTTCATTCAGAAGCACTTCTTTTCTGACCTCTCACTCAACTAGTCTTTTTTTCCCCAGGTAATGTGTGTCTGTCCTTTCATCATACATATTGAAGCCCTGAAGACATTTCCTTTAATTTTTTTTTTTTTTGAGACCAAGAGGAAAAATGTGGCTAATATGCAGGCAGCAGGGCAGCCGTTATGAGGACAGTGGAGAGAGAGAGGTGGTGGCACAGCGAGCTGTGTATTTAAAATCAGCTCATTGAGACAGATGACACAATTTCACACATATTGCCCTCGGAAAAGCAGCCAGTTTTCCATAATGGCCCAAACCTTCATCTGTCAGGCCCTGCTAAATCTACTGGAATAATTTCCTCATGGATTATATGTCAGTATTTATAATTTATTAAGTTGCCTATATATGTCAGGGTACGAATCTCGCAGTCCCAATCCTCTGTCATCTTTTTTTGCTTTTTCAAGGGACAAGACGACAAATGGGGGAAAGTCTTGCTGAAATGAAGCTTCTAAATGTTTTATACAGGCTCTAAACGGCACGATCGCAAGCAGTACGAGCAAATCCCATTGAAAGAGTCAGTCTTTAGTGGAAGGAAATAGGAGATACTCCCCAATCTGCATGCTGAATGAGGGGAGGGTTTAGCTCGTCTTTTAAGAGATTGCTCATCTTGCTAATGTAATGCACACAGTTAATCTGGCTCTTCCTCGGGCTCGAGTCAGGCTTAGTCCAGGAGGGTTGGAAGACTGCTAGACTCCATCCTGTTTTCAGAAACATAATCTGGGATCTGGCTTTTTACCCCTCCCCATGACTCCCAGCACTAAATCCCCCAATAAGCAGCCTTTGTGAGCAACTCACACTGCCTTTCATGGCTTGATTACAGGGCACAGCAGGTATTTCAAGGGGGAAGGTGACTCTGTGATGAATGTGGCAGGAGAGAGTGACGGGGCCAGCACTGGTCATGAATGTGGCATTGAATGAACCGCTTGCATGGTCATTGATGTTTTACAATGAGCACTTTTACAGTAAAGTGAGATGACTGATAGAGGAGCCAGCCTAGGTGGAGTAGTGTCCTCTTGGCAATTTGAGAAATTAAAAGGAGATCAAGACAAATAAATTGTTTGTTGTTGTTGTTGTTGTTGTTTTTAATTACAATTAAACAATTAAAATACTGAACAGTAATGCATTACATTGTTGAGGTATGTTTTAAGCCTCTCAGTGTTGCCAACTTAGTGACTTTGCTGTGATATTTAGCCACTTTTCAGACCTCCCTAGCGACAATCTCTTAATTTTTTTGGTGTTACTCAAGATTTTGATAGACTCTCATGTTTCTATACTGTCCCGTTCCTACTCTTCTCTTCAAACCAGGAGTGATGCCATTGGCGCTGTCGTCATACAGTAGTCTCTCGCACCTAAAGCCTAAAGCCTGGTTTATACTTCTGAGTCAAGTGACTGGCGTAACCCACGGCGCATGCAACACGCGTAGCTGTGCATTTATATTTCTGTGCGCTGTCTCTGTTGGTCAGCATTAACACTTCCGAAACGCTAGTCGGCAGTGAGGTGTAAATGTTCCTCTGTGTCAAGTTTCTTAGCTGGTGTTTTGCTTTTCCTGAACACTTCCTGAATGTACAAGTGGCTCAAACTCGCTCATTTTGAGGCAGGAATTGGCAGACGTGCAACAACTTTAACTATGAGGTAAACACAAAACAAAACTTTCCATCCGGAGCTCCTTCACAGGACTCCACACTTGTAAACAATCGCTCCATCGGGGTCGCACCATTCGCGCGGCTCTCGGTCCCGCCCAGACTCGTCAGCGCTACCAAGCCGACTAATCACAGAGCTTGCGCTACGTGTCGTTGCGACGTGTAGTTACATTTTTTGAGAGGTGCATGTCAGCGACGGCCACGGCGTAGGGCTATGCGTCAACGCTGTAGCATACGCGTGCGTTTAATGCAGAAGTATAAATCAGCCTTAAGAACAGATCACTCTTCTGCGTACGGAAGACAAATGATTTAGCACTGCGAGTGTAAGGTATTTCCTGGGTACAGTCAAACCGATTTGCTTCTCCTTTGTTTTTAATGTCTTAACATTTGTCTTAACATTTTAATTTGATTGTTTAATCTTTTCTTGTTCACAATCACAGTTATTTTAATGACCATTTCGGAACTTGCCTGACTTTATTACGTCTGAGAGGTTACTGCAAATTCTCTACATATCTATACTGATAAACTGTATTCCAGCAGCAATAAATTTAGTTAATTTACCTTGCTTACTAGGGTTGCACGATAGTTGAATTCAGTACCAATCGATACTGAAATTTAAAAAATGTCCATTTTCCCGCTAACATTTAAGCACGTTCTTAAACAGTGCTGATTTGCCATTTTGTTCACGTATAGACAAACCAGTAAATCGACGTGACTTTAAAATGTATCTCTGTATTTGTGTTTACACAATCTAGTGACTTTTCGGGCAGAGCTTAGCGCCTTTTTATTGACAATAGTTCAGACTCAGACTCTAATCTGCATATGTGAATGATTTCTGAAGGCTTATATATTTAATATTGAAAGTTGGTGCTAAAGGGATAGTTCATCATTTACTCACCCTTCACTTGTTTCAACCTTTAATTTTCTTTCTTAAAATGTTGGAAATCTGTTAACATTGACTTCCATATTATTTGTTTTTTCTACTATGGAACCCAATGGTTACAGGTTTTCAGCTTTCTTTAGAATATCTTCTTTAGTGTTCAACAGAAGAAAGAAACTCAAAAAAGGTTTGAAAGTAAATGTTCCTTTTTCAATGAACTATGCCTTTAACAACTGCTGAAAATTCAGGAATACGTCAATTCATTCATTCATTCATTCATTCATTCATTCATTCATTTACATTCGGCTTAGTCCCTTTATTAATCTGGGGTTGCCACAGCAGAGTGAACCACCAACTTATCCAGCACATGTTTTACGCAGTTGATGCCCTTCCAGCAGCAACACATCACTGGGAAACACCCATACACACTCATTCACACACATGTGGGGGAAACCAGAGCACCCAGAGGAATCCCACACGAACACGGGGAAAACATGCAAACTCCACACAGAAACGCCAACTGACCCAGCCGAAGCTCAAACCAGCGACCTTGTTGCTGTGAGGCGAATGTGCTACCTACTGCACCACCGTGTCGCCCTACATGAATACATATAAAATATATTAAAATATGGTTAATATATTAAAACATATTAAAATATTTAAAAACATCCAAAACAGGCAGTATTAATGTTTTTACTGTATTTGCTGAATAAAAACTATAAATGCTGAACACTAAATATATTTTTTTTACGATATAGTATGATGACCAACTTTAGTAAACTTTTTGTTCCTTTACTTTAGTTATTAGCTATGTTTTTTTTATCCAAAGATGTGAATTAAATGTATGCGCAAAACTATTATATCGCATATAAGACATGCAAATAAAGCAGCGTTTGCATCCAAGTAGTCAAAGAGAACAAAGTTGTGACTTCCTGATTATCTGGCTCCAAATATCAAGAGTGAAAAATGGAATTTGCTGTGTTAGCAGAAGCTTCGTCAACCTTTTCTTTATTTAATGAATTACTTGCGCCTGGTGGCTTTTAAAGGCGTGAGACGCGGAGCAAAGATGCTCTTGACAGTTCTGGAGGTAATTTATTACATAATAACACTAACACTGAAACAGTTAAGGCATTTTAGAATGACCAAAACAACATTTTAGGTGGTTTACAATGTGCTTAGCCTGCTGGTTTGGCTATTCACACATAATCATCACATGATCCCTTATAACAAAATCACGTCCTTTTTTAATGCACATACTGGAATTTCATTCATTCATTCATTCATTTTCTTTTTGACTTAGTCCCTTTATTAATCCGGAGTCGCCACAGTGGAATGAACCACCAACTTAGCACGTTCTTACGCAGCGGATACCCTTCCAGCCACAACCCATCTCTGGGAAACATCAACACAAACTCATTTACACACATACACTACGGACAATTTTAGCCTACTCAATTTACATGTACTGCATGTCTTTGGACTGTGGGGGAAACCGGAGTACCTGGAGGAAACCCACGCAAACGCAGGGTGAATATGCAAACTCCACACAGAAACCCCAACTGAGCCAGTCGAGGCTCGAACCAGCGACCTTCTTGCTGTGAGGTGACAGCACCACCTACTGCGCCACTGCGTAGCCCATACTGGAATTTGTTTGGTAAAAATGTTTCCATCGTAGTTTATGCTTTTTTTTAAAGTTTTGCGCATACGTTTTTTTGTGCGCATTTTCTAAATTTATGCACATCTTGGCGATTCCATTAGCCGTTTTTTTATGCGCATATCTAAAATGTCATAAAAAATAGGTGGATAGAAACATAGCTACAGATATTAATTAAACAAATAGCATTTTGTAGTTAATAGCCTCACATTGACCATTTGCTTTTACAAACATGTTTTCTGTATACAGAATGCTACCTTGTTGACATTGCTATGAACAGTACTATAGCTGCACTGCAGTCCAATATGATTTGATGTGTCATGTAAACCTTTCGGGCTATTTTTCACTCTGCTCTCTTCTTGCCTTTTACCAGATGCCGATGAGAAACCCTGACCCCAGACTGGCACCCCGCTATGAGGACGTCGAGCGACAGTATGCCTCCTTGCCCAGGTAACAACATCCACTCATTAATCCCACACCCTTCGTGACAAAACAGAAGAGGTGGAGAGCTAAAAACAGAAAAGATGGGATGGAAAAGAGGGGGAGAGCAGGTAGTCATCTGTCTCTCTCATGCAGAGCTGAATAATCCTCTTTAAAGCGTATAATTAAATCTGGAGTGTCTGCCTTCTGAGGCCCCCCTATCCTGGGAATTCACCTGATCCTCTCCGGGGAGATGGCCATGCGGTCGCAGCTCTGTAACCCGATCATACAGCGTGTTTCTGGAGCCGCCTAAAGTTACGGCTGCCTCTTTCTGTCTGTCTGTCTGTCTGTCTCTTTCCTCACCATCATTTCTATCGTTCTCAATCACATCTTTTCATGTTTGCTGAGCCTGACGAACCACAACGGCCAGCGTAAACAAACAGACAAACGCACAGGCGTGAATGTTGGCTCGTAAAGTCCACAGCCTGTTTGCCCTCTCCGGTCTGTGTAAACAGTGCTGGTGTTGGTGTGAGGGTCACGGTTTATGAGTTTGGCACATGTAAGTGTGGATCTGTCATCACATGATTGCAGACCACTATAAACGGATAACTGATAACAAATTATACACATTAAAAAATCTAAAACTTGCAAGTGATGAACTTTTAAAAAAAGTGTTGGCGAGGCGTTTTAATAGCACTCAATGAATTGAAGTAAAGCGTTAAAACACTTATAAAGTATTTATCACTTCCCCTGCAGCATCATTGCGATGGTGAATGAAGATTTCGCTCCTCTAAAATGGCTTATCGCAACAGATTTTAGTATCAACCACCTCAGGGTCTACTTTCAAAGCCATTTCCTTTCTAAATAACACTCACAATTTCTGTTAAATCCATTTAGATTCTACATTCTTTTTTATTGTGTGTGTTGATGCAAAAAAAAAAAGAGGGGTTAAAAACTCCACTTTCATTATTACGCCATCCTGAACGGGAAGAGTTTCAAATCTATGTCCGGCCCATGCTGAGGTCATTGGTTTTTGCAGTCGGCTGAAGTTTGGCTTGGTGGCAAAAGCGTGCGGCTCCTCCGTGTGTGTCTAATTATAACCATTAGTGCATTGATACACCCACTTATTACCCAGTGTGCTCAGCCCGGGGTCAGCCAATCAGAAGGGCTGTTTGCCACCTGCCTCTAGATTATTGGATTAACTGGGCAAGTCAAAGTTGTGATTCATTGTGTTAGAGCTTTCATTGGACGGTTTTAGTGATAATTGGGTGATGAATGCACAGATGGTGGCCCATCTCACTGAACTCTGGACAGGAGGTACGTATTCTGAGCTGTCATTTAGTGTCCAATCAATCATTTTTCCTCATCCTATACCTCAGTTTAAGACTAGCTAATTCCTTTCTCTAAAAAACACCTCATAAATCCCTCCAACCACCCCCACTCCCACACTGTTTGGCTTTTTTGTTGGTGGGCCTTCCCAGACCTCTTCAGACCAGCATTGGGCAAGCTACTTAAAAAAATATAGTGAGCTAAGCTATTAGCTACTCTACTTACAATATAGCTTAACTACACTAAAAGCTACGCTCTGGGAAATGCTACTTGGCAAAGGTAGCTTAGCTTAGCTACATCTTACATTTTTGCAATTTTCATTTTTAAATCAAAGCAACTTAAATCCTAGTCAGTCATATATCAGTGTGAATTAAAACTGTCAATGAAAGGTATGAGGTATAATTGTTCAGTTCAATTATTTACAGCAAATATTATGCTGTACTAAACAGAAACAATTATTGGATTAACAGCAAAAACGAAAAATTCAATAAAACCAGGTTTTACACATTTAAAATATTATAGTAATTTATAATTAAGGTAATATTTTGGAATAAGCATTATATTATAAATATATTTACTGCTCTTCATTAATGAATTACACTACATAATGTAGCAAATACTATCATGAACTAATTGTATTTACCATAGTTATACTAAAGCATTTACTACAGTAAACTATATATATATATATATATATATATATATATATATATATATATATATATATATATATATATATATATATACAGTTGAAGTCAGAATTATTAGCCCCCATTGAATTTTTTTCTTCTTTTTTAAATATTTCCCAAATGATGTTTAACAGAGCAAGCACATTTGTCTGATAATACTTTTTCTTCTGGAAAAAGTCTTATATGTTTTATTTTGGTTAGATTAAAAACAGTTTTTAAATTTTTTTTAAACAACATTTTAGGGACAAAATTTATTAGCCCCTTTAAGCTATATATTTTTTCTATATAATCTACAGAACAAATCACTGTTATACAATAACTTGCCTAATTACCCTAACCTACCTAGTTAATCGTTTAAATGTCACTTTAAGCTGTATAGAAGTGTCTTGAAAAATATCTAACCACATATTATTTACTGTCATCATGACAAAGATAAAATCAATCAGTTATTAGATTACTCTCCATTAAACAGAAAGTGAGGGGAAAATAAATGTGTGGTCTAATAATTCAGGGGGCCTAATAATTCTGACTTCAACTATATATATATATATATGTATATATATATATATATATATATATATATATATATATATATATATATATATATATACATATATATATATATATATATATATAGTTGTAATTATAATTGTAATTATAAAAGTAAAATTGTAATTATAATTTAATATAAATAAAAAGTGTACCATAACAAATTAATTTGAGTACTTCACTATTGTGTAGTCAGAACATTATAGTGCTTACTTATAAATTACTGAAGTATTTTTGAGCACAGCATCAGAATTAATGTTTTTGCATCTTGACATGTACTTCTCAAGGTATGATCATGAGGAATCCTTCTACAGAAATAACTTCCCTCCCTCAGTCATCTTTTCATTAAGCAAATTTCTCGTGATAGCGATGTCACTGACCAGGGGTGCATTTCCCAAACAACGGCATAACTCACAGCTGAACTATCATAGTACAATGCATCGTTTAGGAAAAGAACGATGTAGTGACGAGTGTTTCCCAAAGCCCGTAGTTTCTCTCTCACAGATCAATCGTTTGAATCACGTAAGTTATAACACAGAACGGCCATAATGATGCTCTAAACGGGGTGGTAACAACTTCTTTAGAGAAGAACCCTATAATTTCTTTGTGCAAGTTTTATTGTTTTATATGCACACACATTTAAAAAACAAATCCTAAATTAGTTTTAATAAAAACGTGCACTCGTTTTTTATATTAATGGAAATATATGCAAATTACACATATAGGGCCTATGTTTCCTTTACAAATATTATTGAGAACATTACATATTGTATTCTAAAACATACAACCACTTACAAAAAGCTAACACATATTCTAATCTCATATTTAAATCATATAAATCAATAAACACTGAAGCTTTTTATTGAGAAATTACGTTTAAAATTTATTATTTATTAGGAAATGAAAAGAATCTGACTTTAATAATATGAATATTAATATTAATGATGATGATAATGATGATGATGATGATTATTATTATTATTAGGTAGGATATATATATATATATATATATATATATATATATATATATATATATATATATATATATATATATATATATATATATATATATATATATATATATATATATATATATAGCTTTCATCATAAGCCATGACTGTGTTCAAAAGGACAAAAATGTTTTCAAAGTGCACTAAAAAGGTAGCGCAATTGTAAACATGTAAATCGCTAAAACTGAACTGTAAAAATACAGTTTAAAAAAATACAGAATAGGGCACAGGGGAGGTAATAGAACACAGCCAGGGACTATGTTTTTTACTACAGCGCCAGAGGTGTAGTTGCAAGCATACAAGTTTGTCATTGTTTGTTGATGTATTTGGGAAACGCCAAATCAACAAACAATATATGTAGTGAAGGAACTTGCGACCTTAGTTGGCTAACGATGGTTTTCAGAAATACACCCCAGAGCGAGAGGTGGCAGTAACGCACCAAAAAGTTTGTTGTCGACCACCGAAAAACAGGACGAAGAAGAAATCATCATTCTCGCCATCATATGGATTTACTTTCATCGGCTAGACACCGGCCTCACAGCTCTGTGAATGTCTGTTCTGTCACTTACTAATTGACTATTGGAAATGTAGCTTGTAAGGATACTACTGCGCCATTTGATTAAAAAAATAGCTTAGTTACTGAAAAGCTACTTGATTTAGAAAGTAGCAATCCCACCGTTCAACCTCCAAGCCTAATTGTTTGTTCTGCCTTATCAACAACGTTCTATGTTGGAAGATCTCTTAATGTATCTTTGCAGTCTAAATGAGTGTAAAATTGGTTGTTGTCGAACCTTAAAAGAGCTCTGTTGAAACAGTTTGTACAAATGTCAGTAAATTGTTCTCATATCTTTTAGATTAGCCAGCGAGCTGTCAGTTGCAATGGCGCAAATGCCAGAAAAGAGCTTGTGATGAGGAAAGAAGGTTACATTTGATGAGCTCTGAAAATAATGCCATATTTTCATTGTTCTGCCTGTTCAATGTTGCCCTGGCAACCAACACCCACCATCTGCGCGAGGCTGGACCTCCTCACCCTGTTCTCCTTCTCACTTTGTTTTTTCTTTTTCCTCCCTTCTTTTTCATTCTCCACTTTTCGTTTTCCACTCTTTCTGAAATTCGTGAAATTTGCGCCCTCCTGTGAGGCGCGTCAGGGTTGTAAATTGTCGCTGGCGTTAAAAAGACATGAGGGCTGATTGCTGTTCGGCATCTCCTGCAGGTGAGCCCATAGGTGTCCGACAGTCTGCAAGCTTCTGGCCAGCCCGTCTCCCTTCCAATAGCAGGACAAGCACACAAGCGTGACTTCTACAGAGCAAACCTCATTTAGCAGCATTCAGCTCTGGAGTCCATTACCACACCGGGCAGGTAGCAGATGGAGAATATTAGCCTAATGATTAAATGAAACTGGCGGAAATTTTTTGATGGTTTCACTTGCTGCGGCAAATGCGGTCAATCATTA